ATTTCATTGAAGAGTTTGAGGAGTATAGGGAGTACATCTTCTGTAAATTTCTTATAGAATTCAGCTGTGAATCCATCCGGACCTGTACTTTTCTTTGATGGTAGGTTTCGTATTACATCTCGTATTTCATTGGCTGCTATTGGGCTATTGAGAGTGATTATATTTTGTCAATTCAGTTGTGTAATTTGTAGTTTTCTAGGAATCTGTCCATTTCATCTGTGTGTTCTATTCTGTGAGATTAAAGACTCTCAAAGTAGCTAATGATAATCTGAATTTCCACTGGGTCTCTGGTAATTCATCCTTTTCATTACTTATTGGTTGTATTTGAATTTTTCTTTCCTCTTTTTGATGAGGTTAGCTAGGGGCTTATGGATTTTATTTAATCTTTCAATGAACCAGCTTTTTGTTTCATTAATTCTTTGAACTGTTTTGTCTTAACTGAATTAATTTCTGCTTTAATCTTTATGATTGCTTCCCATCTTTGGGCTCTGGGTTTGATTTGCTCTTCCTTTTCTAGTTGCTGGAGGTGCAGCATTAGGGTGTTTATTTGTCCTGTTGTATTATCCTAATGTGTGAATCTACAGCTATGAATGTCCCTCTGAGAACTGCTTTCATCATATCCCATAAATTCCGATAAGTTGTGCCTGAATTTTCATTGAATAGTAGCTATTGTTGAGTTTCTTGTTGAATTTCATCTGTGACACATTGGTTGCTGAGTAGGGTGTAGTTTAATTTCCACGTATTTAGGTTTTTTTTCTGGTTTCTTTAGTCCTTTATTTCCAGTGTCATTGCACGGTGATCAGATAATATGCACGGGAATTCTGTTTTCTTGCATATACTTAAGCATGACCTACGGACCAGTATGTGGTCTGTTTTAGAAAATGACCCATGTGCAGCTGAGAAAAATGTGTATTCAGCTGTGTTTGGGTGGAACACTCTATATGTCCATAAGTCCATTTGTTTCAAGCTCTGGTTCAGTTCTGTTACTTCTTCATAAGTTTTTGTCTGATTGACCTATCTTTTGGAGATAAAGGGGTGTTAAGGTTTCTTGTTAAAATTTTGGTATTGGATATTAGATTTTTCATGTCCATTAAGATTTGCTTTATATAGCTGTGTGCTCCTGTGTTTGGTGCATACATATTTATGAGTGTTACCTCTTCCTCTGAATTTTTCCCATAACCAGTATATAGTGGCCTTCTTTATGTCACTTGATCATTGTTGAAGTTGAGACTGTCTGAGAATATGATTGCTACCTCTGCTTTTTTTTGAGGTGCTGGGGCATGTAGTACTATGTTCCATCCTTTGACTTTCAGTCTATGAATGTCTTTATGAGTTAAATGTGTTTCTTGTATACAGCATATTGTTGGATTTTGCTTCCTAATCCACTGTGCCAGTCTATTTCTCTTAATTGGTGAATTGAGTCCATTTACATTGATGGTTAGAATTGAGATGTATTGACTTA